GGGGGGGGAGGTGAAAGGGATACCTGATTTCCTACGCACCGCGCGAGCTACACACCGCGCGACCTCGCGTTGGGCGCCAAATATGGTTTTCGTCCTAATAGGGGTTGGCTCAAAATAACGGGTCTAATAGCGGGTTTCCAACTAACGGGGCATACACTGCCACATCCACCCCAAACGTTTGAATTCCAGCGCCCTCGCTGGCTCGACTATAAAGGAATCAGCAAGTACAAGCAAATACAGAAATGTTGAATAATATTGTACGGTACAGAGAAATATATACATATAAAAAATGCAACGTAAGTGCTCAATACAATAAAAGTACCTTGGTGTAATTCACTCCCTGAGTATGACAAGTATTTCCTTGTCACGACATTGTACTACCTATAATGATATGACTTATGAGGTTACAAGCGCGCGCACCAGGTCGACCCAAGACTTGTAGCATGGCTGTACGTCTAACAAAAGCACTATGATGTGCAATCGCCAATTGTATACTGGTGTATACGCCTAAGTCTATGTGAAACTTGACGCATTTGACCATGTGTAATTAGGACGATACCAATTATAGGTGTTGGTCGACGCATGCATACGTGGATCTTTAGGGGACAAGGCTCTCTGCCGCATACCTAATAATGGCGATCTCACTGTAAATGGTACATTAAATGAGATTGACCATGTATCAACTTATAAAACACTACTTAACTTGATAACAAATGAACATGAAAAGTTTAACATTCCAGCAGAAAAAAATGTACTCTACAAATGAACAAGGGTATAAATGCATTGGCATAACAGAAAAAAATGAAGAAAAAAAAATGATATTCAATCGTAATGGAGAGTAGACTACAGATCCATCTTTACTCTGGGTTTATTCCCTCTTTGAGTAATGCGGACGGATCTGCGTGGCGTAATTGGCGGAGGTGATTCTGCCACTGTTCTAGGTTGACTACTCGTCAGTGCCACTTTCGGTTTTGTCCTGATTATTATCACGGGGTCCTCCTCGTCACTGTCACTGGACTCGATTGTTTCTGGGGGTGTGGCACTTGAAGCTGGTACGAGGTCCAAAAGTGGTGCTTTGGCTACTAGAAGACCCTTTCTATTGACTGTTTTCTCGGTCCCTCCCGCTAAAGGGAGAAGCCTATAGATATGTTTACCTGGTAGTCGGGCCGTAATGCAGTAGAGATCAGGCTGCCAGAAATCCTGAATCTTGTTCCGGCCTACCACCCGATTTCTAACATATACATAATCACCGACAGACAGTGGATGGTCGAGGGCGTTCGTGTCAGTGAAAGCGATCCGTTTAGCAGCTTCACGTTGCAGGTGGTCAAGTGCGAGGCGGTGTGTCTCCATTAACCGGTGGCGATGCTGTCTCACCCAGTCGATGCCTGTTGGTGCGACATCTGTCGGTCGAAGCAACAGTTCGTCGATGGGGAGGCGAGGGGCTCTGCCAAAAAGGAGAAAATAGGGAGCGAACCCTGTAGAAGCGTGAGGAGTATTATTGTACGCCTGTACTAGATCAGGTAGGAAAGTTGGCCACTGTCGTTTCCTCTCAGGTGGTAATGAGCGGAGGAGATTGTGTAGCGTCCTGTTAAACCGCTCACACTGACCGTTCCCTTGTGGATGATATGGAGTAGTATGAGATTTTTTTATGTGGTACAGCGTACAGAGCTCCGCAATGAGCCGTGATTCGAATGACCGGCCTTGATCGCTGTGAATTCTCACCGGGACTCCGTAACGTTGAAACCACTCCCTTACCAATACGTTAGCTACTGTAGTCGCTTCTTGGTTTCGGGTTGGCACGGCTTGTGAGAATTTAGTGAAGACGTCTGTGATGATAAGAACATCTTCCCTACCGTCACTCGCTGGCTCTAGCTTTGTAAAGTCGATAGCGATTATCTCCAGCGGGTAGCTGGCCACAATCGGCGTTGATGTGGTATGCAGCGTGCTCGGGAGGCGACCCATAGTGCAACGGCTGCATTTTGTGATGTAGTCTTTCACTTGTGAGTACATTCCGGGCCAGTAGACACGAGAGCGCAACAGACTGGTGGTCCGATCTACGCCTTGATGACCCATGTTGTCGTGCAGGGAGTACAGTACATCAGGAATCAAACTGGTGGGGAGCAGCAGCTGCTCGCAGGTACCTTGTGTTTGATCAACCACTCTTCTGAATAGAAGGCCATCTTGGAGCAGCAATCTCTCGTGCTGATTGTTTAACGCTCGGTTGCCTCGATCTGGTCGGGGTTTTGCTGGCCACGATTCAAGCAATGGGCCAATGTTAGTATCTTGCTGCTGTAACGCAATTAATTCGTCCCTAGAAAATCGAGGTAGAAACGTACTTAGTGTTGATGCCAATTGTTGGTCAGAAATTGAACCGCTGGACTGAGGCAGAGCGTCAGCTGACGGCAGAGTAGCAACTGGTGGCGTGAACTCTAGTTTCTGACAGTATGTTTCCTGCGCCACGGCGATCTCCGATGGTACGGGAGTGTCAGTGGCGACCTCCACTGGCATCCTGGAGAGAGCGTCAGCTGGATTTAGTCGCCCCGGTCTGTACTGTACATCAAAGTTGAACTGTGCCAGCTGTGCTGCCCAGCGTTGTTCCAGTGCACCAAGTGGTGCGGTTCGAAAATGTACCAATGGGTTATTGTCAGTGTAGACAGTGAAAGATGCACCCACCAAATAATGGCGAAATTTTTCGCTGATAGCCCATTTCATAGCAAGGAATTCTAGCTTTAGGCTACTGTAAAGGGCCTGATTTTTCTCCGTGGGTCTGAGGCGTCGGCTAGCATAAGCGATTATGCGTCGCGCGCCGTTCTGCTCCTGGGATAGAATCCCACTAAGTCCATCATGGCTGGCATCAGTCTCCAGGATGAAAGGCTTCGTGAAATCTGCATAGCCAAGTATTGGCGCAGACGTCAGGGCTTCTTTCAGACGCCCAAAAGCTTGTTGGTGCTGGTCCCCCCAAAGCTGCTCAATCCTGTTGGTCTTCTTTGCAGACTGGTTACTACCGGCGGTCACTAAGTCGTGGAGTGGTCCTGCAATTTTTGCGAACCCCAAGATAAATCGCCGGTAGTAACTTGCAAACCCAAGAAAGCTGCGAAGCTCGGTGGTAGTTTTCGGAATCGGCCAGTCTCGCACAACCTCCACTTTTGACGTATCACAGCCAACCCCTTGTGCTGAGACAGTGTGGCCGAGAAAGTTGACCTCACGCCGTAAAAGCTGACATTTATCTGGGCGAAGTTTTAGACCAGTCTCTATAATACGACCCAACAATCTATCAAGGTGCAGCAGGTGTTCCTCAAATGTTTTTGAGTAAACGTCAAATCTTTCTAAAGGCTTTCTTTCTACTCGCCTTTCCACCTTGTTGATCCGTTTGTGGTATACATTATGTTAACGCACATTACCACACTCGCTCCGTCGGTTCATCCTCTGTCCATACTCATCTGGAAGGTCACCTGAATTGATCGAACATAGCTACAGCTTTGGCATCCTGCGCCCAGACTGGGAATTTTCGGGGGTGGGGGTGGGGGGGGGGCTTTGGGGTAGTGAGTGATGTGGAAATAAGAAAATAGGAATTTAAAAAAAAACAGCAACATTTCGGCAATTAGACTCTGATCAACGGACGGCAAGCAGACGTCCAATTCTACACTTTAGTTTAGTCCCTGGTTAAAGAGCTAAGTCACGTGACACGGAATTTTGTAAGCATTCTTTCTTTAAAAAAAAAAGTAAATATTCTTGTACGGAGAATTGACAGATGAAAATGTTCAAACTAAAAATTAGTAAAACTAATTTCAAAATTACTTAAAATGCAAAGAAAGTCTATGCAGAAAATATTTATTAAAACAAAAATAACTAAAAATAAATCACATTTAATTTTCTTCTACATTGAATTCGAAGACATTGACGCCCTAAAGTGCTCATCTACACTTCTGCACAGTTTTTCTTTTCGCACTGCATTTTTAAAGAAACATTAAATTATTTCCTACTTTCAAGTGCGTTTAAACTTGTTTTTGAAAGAAAGTGTTTTTAAAAAAAAGTTTTTTCAACAAAAAATACCGTAACAAAATAGCAACAATAAAAAAAAAAGATGAGACGAAACTACAAAATGTTTCCCTCGTAGCCAAACTCTAAATGCTCTTATTATGGACGCAGCACGTAGGGGCAGAAAAGGCGGCCAGTCATGCATCCATGTTAAGTCATAAGGTGGACAAAGTAAATGTTAAACATTGGAAAGGTCATTGTGTGCGAGTAAATTTTTATTTTTTTGTATTTTCTGCTTGAGTGGTCACCATATTTTTAATTTGAGCCCGTATGCCTTAAACTTAACAACAGTGCAGTGGTGTGTTGAGCATAATTTCCCCACTTTTCGTCTTCAATAAAACTGAAAGCTTTGTCTTTATTTTTTCTTCTTAATTTCTTGTTCAAAATAAGATTCCTGCACATCTTGGGTTGTATAAGTGGTTCTCTGAGTTTCTTTTCATGTGGCCACACTTTCTAATAATCTCTCTTTCTAATAATCTCACGACACCAATACTGTAAAGTTTTAAATTTTAATTTTCTTTGAAATGAAAATAACATTGTGTTGTGCGTTGCAAGCTTTATTTTTTTATTTTAATGAAATATTGGTACGTAATAAATATAGTTCTGTATGCAGCTGCGGGAATTCAGCAGCCATTTCGTTGTTGGTTCCCAGAGGGCAGCAGCGTCTTGATCAGAGAAATCCACTGTGATGCGGGATAGGTGGAGTCCACGTCCACAAAAACGTCGTTAACACTAAAGGATGGGGTGCCGTGGACGCCCCTGGTGCAGCCGTACTTCCACTCGAGTCTTGTGGCTACGTCGATGTCAGAGTCGTACGTCTGCGGGGGTAAAGAAAATCGTGCCATTAGGTCTACGACTACGCCTATGCTGAATGATGTATAACATACAGGGTTGGATCAACGAGAAACAGGGGGTATAACAGCAGGAGTTTGTATATTATGTATGGAAAATGGTGTGGTTTTTATGTTTTAAAAATTCATTCTCCCCTAAAGGAAAAAAAATGATATCTTATCACTTACTACAGACCATGGGTTTATTATACACACTGTTTGGGGACATTTTAACAGCTTTTAATAATTTTCACTATTGTGTTTTCTACATATTTAGAAACAAAAGCTGTACTTGAGGAGAAATACAAAAGTTGACCTTTTCCAAAAAAAGAAAAGGTATATTTTGATATTTCCCATGAAAACGGCGGATTTGGCACCACAAAAAGATGCCGCCCCCGACGGGTACCCCTTCGTCACTTCCATTTTTGCACTGCCCTTTTGAGTTCCCTAGATGACTTAATTTTTTTTTTTTTTGCACACGCGGGACAGATTGTTTGCAAAACTCTCCTATGTTCCTCCTTTATGACTGATTTTGTAATGATCGCAGTCTCTCAAATCCCCAATCATAATCACTGTTACTGTTCTTACTGTATCCAGAATCCCAGTTACTGTTCTAACTGTATTTAGAATCCCAGTTACTGTTCTAACTGTATTTAGAATCTCAGTTACTGTTCTAACTGTATTTAGAATGCCAGTTACTGTTCTAACTATATTTAGATCCCAGTTACTGTTCTAACTGTATTTAGAATCCCAGTTACTGTTCTAACTGTATTTAGAATCTCAGTTACTGTTCTAACTATATTTAAACCCAGTTACTGTTCTAACTGTATTTAGAATGCCAGTTACTGTTCTAACTATATTTAGAATGCCAGTTACTGTTACAACGGTATTCCTTAACATTGTAACAAAAATTGACCTACTTACCCCTTGTTTGAACTGATCGGGTGTGACCGGAAACAGTCTCTGTGCCAAGGTCGTCAGATAACTAAAAACCTCGACTTCCGTTTTATTCACAGTTCCTGTGGTCGTCAGGTAGTCGATGTTCTGATACACCACTTGGATCCAGTCGAAGATCGTGGCGTTGCCGGTCGCGTTGGACGGCAGTCCCGACAGATAGCGCGTGGCCTTGGAGATGAGGTGACTGTTGCGATGGTACGGAAGCGAGAAAATGTAGAATCTCAGCTGGACCTGGGAATCCGTGAATGAGTCCGCGACCCGGAGGAGCGTCGGGAAGGCTTGCTTCGAGTAAGGGCACGTGAGGTCGACGTAGGCGGCGATCTTGACCGAGGCGCAGGGGCGTCCATTGTTGTAGACCAGACCGAGTTCGCCCCTGGGGATGGACAGCTGGGTGGTTGTCAAGGGAGCGACGATGGCAAAGACGGCGAGGATCAGTAATGGGGTCATGCTGAAGGTGATTTTGGCGAGCTGGTTTGTTGGGGAATAAGTTACAGAAACATTGATAGATGTCAGTGATTGATGGAAAAGAATGCAATAAGGATATTACATGATTAGAATGAGCCTGCTGGCTGGGTTGTATCGTATACATTTTTAAAGGGGGTGCACGGGTAAATGAAAAGGGGCGAAAGTGAAGGTGCAGGCAAGTGGGGTGATGCGCGCTGGGGGATGGTGCGCACTGTAGGGATAGTGCGCACTGTGAGAATGGTGTTCCCAGGGGGATGGTGCGCACTGGGGGATGGTGCGCGCTGGGGGGACGGTGCGCGCTGGGGGGGATGGTGCGCGCTGTGGGGATGGTGCACACTGTGGGGATGGTGCGCACGGGGGGATGGTAAGCACCGGGGGAGTGGTTCACTCTAGTGGGGATGGTGCCTTCCTGCAAAAGGGGGGTGGGGTCAAAATTTTCGGTTTGCTTCAAATACTTTATTTAAATTTTATATATGTATTCTTTATGTATTGCATTTTTCGTGAATTAGGTGAAGTAAAGTCGTGACCGTTCAGAAACTCGAGCTTCTCCACTGAAGGAGGTGTTAAAGTGGAAAATACCTTACGAATAGACAACCGGGGATACCGTTGTGCATGACCGGCTCTGATGACTGTGAGAGTGTTGGCCTACTGTGTGCCGCTAAGACGGGCATGGTGAAATTGCTTAATACGTCTCATTGGGAAATTTTGTCGGTGGTCCGTCGAGTGAGAGCTCCCAATGCCCCCCCCCCCCGGGCATCAACCCCCCCCCCACACGGGCCATACGCCGGGTTTCCCCACCGCCAGACCACGCTGTGGCACGGCGGGAACCTCCCTCCTGGCCTGTGGGACGTCAGGTCGACCGAAAACGCTGCGTTTCCCGTGGCTTGGGCGGGTTTGCTTCCACTCCTGAGGAAAGGTGTTGATTTACCAGCCCCCACCGCCCAGGAAGTTTTCGGTCGGGATGGATAGCTGGAACGAAACGGTTGCCTAGGAGTGGCTTTCTCCGTGCCACCTAGCTTAAGTCATTGGCGTGGGTTTTAACCGCCATCCAAACCTCATATCCATCAACGGCAACAAATATTCATGTTATGACGTTACTATTCCCTTTGCGTTGGGAGTCATAAGGTCGGCCTAACTGCTTAATAAGAACTTGCTATTTGTATTCTGTACATAATAATAAGTTCTTACTCAATGCTTTATTAAATAAAAATATAAAAGCATAACAGGGGGTAATACTATAGTAGTGAAGTCGAAATTGCAATGTTTCTTAACGCCAGCAATAGTTAGGCCTATACAAGAGTCTGACTTAATATATGCGTTTTAGTGAAGATTTTTAAAAATGGATCGTTGGCAAGAGCTTGAATAAATTTTTTAAAAATGATCATCATCTTAATTAATATATCCCACCAACGTTAATACACGCCATCCATTTGTTTCATTTAAAAAGATAAACTATTTCATTAAGACTGTAGCGAGTGCATGCATCAATTAAAGTACACTCAGTTGTGAACTATTACTGCATACAGTATAAACAACATATATCTTTAAAATTAAAAGCCAAAGTTATGCTGCGGATGTTTGAAAAGTTATGCTTACTGGCAACTCCACATAAAGTTTAAAAGTAGCGCATTAAAGTAACGACTTACCAAAGAATGTTTACTAACTATTTCACGACAAGCATTTGGACAAGCATTGCCATGCATGAAAATTTAGTTTCCTTACGTAAACGTGGCCAGAATGAGATTATACAATCTTGAAACAAGACCCAAATAATAGTGAACGGAAAATCTTGAAAATCTTATTCGATAACTACAAGTCTAAAATGTTAAAATGTAAAGTAACTTGACCTATTTTATGACAGCTCAAGAATGTTTGTCTCAATTCTTTTTGTAATGTCATAAGAGATTGTGCTAAATAGTGTAAAAAAAAAAAAAAATTAAAGAAGAATCTGAGTGGGTTTTTTTCATAGATGATCCTTAAAGAAAGAGTTTGGAATAAATTCTCAAAATAAATTTTTAGTGAAATAAACTCAACTTAAAATAGGGTTAGCAATAAATCTGAGTAAAACATTTAGACTGTTGTCCAATGCGGTTTAAAAATACGTTGTTGGTTTTTTTGTTAAATCTTTAACCACACAAAGGCCATTCACATTTATCTAAATACCTTCTGTTGTTTCAGCTGCCGTCAGTTTTGTTCATGTGAACTCAGCGTGCGACCAGCGATTATTTTATAATCTTCAACTGCAATGGCTCTCACACCCAGACCATAGTGAGTGGCATAAAAAAATTGATGTGAGAGGTACCTGTTAGAATCTATGTCACTTGAAGTTTGATTGAGAAACACTGAGTTGTGTGTAGAGACTAGAGACAATCAGAGGCGCACCGGGCACATGATGCGCCCAAGGAAGAACAAAAGGCACATTTTTAAAAATGAAATAAGATCGACCATATTTGTATACATAGACATCGCAGTACTTTGAGTAGGGTGCAGTACTTTGAGTAGGGTGCAGTACTTTGAGTAGGGTGCAGTACTTTGAGTAGGGTGCAGTACTTTGAGTAGGGTGCAGTACTTTGAGTAGGGTGCAGTACTTTGAGTAGGGTGCAGTACTTTGAGTAGGGTGCAGTACTTTGAGTAGGGTGCAGTACTTTGAGTAGGGTGCAGTACTTTGAGTAGGGTGCAGTACTTTGAGTAGGGTGCAGTACTTTGAGTAGGGTGCAGTACTTTGAGTAGGGTGCAGTACTTTGAGTAGGGTGCAGTACTTTGAGTAGGGTGCAGTACTTTGAGTAGGGGCACTACTTTGAGTAGGGTGCAGTACTTTGAGTAGGATGGAGTATTTTGAGTAGGGTGCAGTACTTTGAGTAGGATTGAGTATTTTGAGTAGGGTGCAGTACTTTGAGTAGGGGGCAGTACTTTGAGTAGGATGGAGTATTTTGAGTAGGGTGCAGTACTTTGAGTAGGGGGCACTACTTTGAGTAGGGGGCAGTATTTTGGTTAGGGTGCAGTACTTTGAGTAGAGTGCAGTACTTTGAGTAGGGTGCAGTACTTTGAGTAGGGTGCAGTCAAGGTTTCTTTCAGCTATATCTCAGGGGTGAGGGAACCCCCCCGGGGAAAGCCAAGTGCCCCCGGAGCAAAAATATGTCCAACAATAAATCAACTGGCACTGCTGGCTCTGACCCCCTCCCCCAAAAAATCTAAAGTGCCCCCCGGGGGGGGGTGGGAATTTCTGAAATAATCACTGGGTGCAGTACTTTGAGTAGGGTGCCGTACTTTGAATAGGGTGCAGTACTTTGAGTATGGTGCATAGGCGTCCGCAGGTAGGGCAAGGGGGGCACTTGCCCCCCCTCGCCCCTTGGATTGATTGGATAAAAAAATTTTAGACAAAAATAGACCAAAAATTTATTAAAGTAAAGAGAAAATAAAGAGAAAGTAACTAAGCTGATGTCCTGTCCGTTCGTTCACCATACAAATACGCTACAGTAAATTAAAAGTATATTATAACATTACTAAAAATTGTTTGCCCACACCCCTGGAAAGTTAATCGATTTTTTGCCCCCCCCCTAGAAAGTTTTCTGCGGGCGCCCATGGTATGGTGGAGTACGTTGAGTAGGGTGCAGTACTTAAGTTTATTACCAAAGAAAGGTAAACTAACTTATACATTTTATTTTTAAAAAATTTAAAAAACTTTGTCCGATTTTCCGCGTTTTCGCCCCTTTCTTTATGTGGCGCCCTCGGCATTTCCCGAGTCTTACCACACGCTCGGTACGTTACCTCTGGAGACACTGTCAAGATTCCCTGTCCACCGTGTATAAGTATTAAATATAAAATAAAATTGACAAGATATTCTGAGAAAAGGAATGTGCAAAAAATGGCCACTACTGGTCCCCTGATGCCGTGTACATGTCATCATCTCAGGGTGCATCTGTTACCTTCCAAGTGTCCCAATGAAAACAAAATACAAGAGTTGTTTTGATTTTGTGGTTGTTTCTTTAAGTCAATAATTCTCGCTTTGACAACGTCTGGCCGTGTTGCGTGATATGATGATGCAAAAAGAAATGTTCTCTATAAAGTAAATCTATAACACTGGCGTTGACAATGACCACGATATTCCCATCTTTAAAAACGGACGACGCATCTTTCCTACTCAGAGCCGTCGCGTGACTTCCAGACGACCGCAACCCCTTTTCGGTTATGTATACCCTGCATTTAAATTTGATATTTTAACTTTTCTCCGACATCACAACTTGGGGCCCCATAATCGGAGCCACCCCCCCCCCCCTTTTTTTTTTTTTTTTTTTTTTTTTT